TCATACATACACTAACATAAGTTAGTGTGCTACTCACTAACTTAGGGAGTTAGGAGGACCCTGATTGGTAGTGTTTGTTAATTTCTATGGTATAAATTCTACCAGTTTCAATCTATCAAGATAATATTATTGAATATGACTTGGAAACAGGTATCAGTAGCACAGCATCGAGCCCATGTATTTCCACAACATGGGCTCGAAAGACATAATATCCTCAAGAACAGAGGTAATAGCATGATGTGGTGGGTTTTGGTATTTACTATATTTGCTTTTAGTAAATTTTACTTAATTGTAAGTGTATGTAATTAATATTTAGTATGGGCTGTGTTTAAGATTCTGAAGACTTCATGCTCAGCTTTCATTTATTTTTTTTAGAGACATTTATTTGAGAGAGAGAGAGAGAGAGAGAGAGTTAGCAGGGGGAGGGGCAGAGAGGCAGGGGGTGAATCTCAAGCAGACTCCCTGCTGAGCTCGGAGCTCCATGTGGGGCTCCATCTCACAACCCTGAGATCATGACCTGAACCCAAACCAGGAGTTCTGTGCCCCCACTACATGTGGAACTCTGCTTCCATTTCTGTACCGTAGGTCAGATCACCATTGTCTCCTGCACGGTTCAGTGAAATAGACTGTCACGGTTTTCTTGTTTCCACTCTAATTAAGAGTTATTTTATGCAAATACAAATTAGAGCTCCTGGCTCCTACCTTTGCTCTTTACTTCTCTATTGGAACAATATTTGCTGCATAATAAATATATAACTTCATGACAATGACTCATCTCATGTGCCTTTGGATCCAGGTCTCCTTAGACTTTATCTTTAACCAAAGCTATTTGGAACATGAAATTCCAAACCAAAAAAAAAAAAAGGAAAAGAAAAAGTCTTGATCTACTCCACACCCCTTGAATTTTTTTTTTCTCTTGTTCTCTCTTTAACAGAGAATTTGGCTTCAGTGTCCAAAAGGCCTTGCAATTTCAAATTTGCATCCCCGGTGATGAGCGCAGTCCTGGCATACAGATGGAAAACAGTTCAGCTGGATATTAAGTAAGCACTTATGAGCACTCAATAATATATATTTTCTAATTTCTAAATAAGGAAAAGAGCCAAGAAGGGGGGCACTGTCACAGATTGAATATCTGTATCATCTAAAATTCCTATGTTAAAGCCTTAAGCCCCAATATGATGGTATTAGGAGCTGGGCCTTCTGAAGGTAATGGGATTTTGATTAAGTCATGCTGGTGGGGTTAAGGTTAGGGGATTGGTGCCCTCATAAAAAAAATATAAAGAGAGAGAGATTTCTTTCCACTCATGTCTAAAAAAGATCCTGTGAGCACTTAGCTAGAAGACAGCTGTCCACCACCCAGGAGAGAGCCCTCATCAAGAACTGAATCTGGGGGATCCCTGGGTGGTGCAGCGGTTTGGCGCCTGCCTTTGGCCCAGGGCACGATCCTGGAGACCCGGGATCGAATCCCACGTCGGGCTCCCGGTGCATGGAGCCTGCTTCTCCCTCTGCCTGTGTCTCTGCCTCTCTCTCTCTCTCTCTCTCTCTCTCTCTCAATCTGTGACTATCATAAATTAAAAAAAAAAAAAAAAAAAAAAAACTGAATCTGGGAGCACCTTTATCTTGGGCTTCCCAGCTTCTAGAACTGTGAGAAATGAGTGTCTGTCGTTAAAGTTACCTAGTCTATTTCCATTTTGTCTAAAAGCCTGTACTGACTAAAGCAGAAACACAGCAAGTGTCATTTCAAATGAATTCTGTAGAAACATCATCTGGACACCGAATAGTGTGAGCAAATCAAGGAGCTCGGCCCAATCATCACCTTTAAGGACAGAGGAGTGTAGAGCCATCACTGTATTTGCAGCATCGAGCAAGAACCATGAGGGATAAACACTGCTCTCAGAGCCTTGGCGACAAAGTAAGTCTAACGTGGAGGGTAGGGAAATATTCACTCAAATTAGAGAGAAGCAGACATAACCCCTACGGAGGATATAATGAAGGACGGGAGGCTGGGTGACCCGGCTGAGGGTCCTCAGTGCAAATTTCAGCTGCAGGTTGAAAAGGTCACGTAAGGCTTCCTCCAGAATGAATAAGAGGTAGAGGCGACCAGGAGCGCCTGGGTGGCTCAGTCAGCTAAGTGTCTGATTCTTGATTGTGGCTCAGGTCACGACCTCAGGGTCATGAGACTGAGCCCTACGTAGGGCTCCGCGCTCGGTGTGGAGTTTGCTTGGGATTCTCTCTCTCCCTCTGCCTCCAGCACACACACTGTCTCTCTCAAATAAATAAATGAATCTTCAAGAAAAAGTAGAAGTTACCAATATATAAATTATCTTTAAGTTTTTACCAGGAGGTTCTTGTCATGTTGAACTCCCCCACCTAATGAAATCTGTGGCTTTTAAGTTCCACAGTGAAATATATATAGATTTAATGTACACATGAATAGTGCAAAGGAAGTTTTGTGCAATGGAAGTTTTGACTGCGTTATTCTTCTTTAAAAAAAATTAAATGACATTCTGAGGGGGGGCACGGTATGTGAGTATTTTGTCTTTTTTTTTGCAGATGTGAGTTGAAAATTGCTTACTTGGCTGTGTTTCACAGATTTCAGGAAAAACCATTCAAGAGTTGAACATTTAAGAATGATAGTAGATGAGACCAGTCATAGACCACGGAGAACAGGGGGAGTTATTACTTGTAATGTTCATGTCACAACACCACTCTGGGTAGGCATTTGAGGAAACTGAGGCCCAGGGAGGGTAAGTGACGTGATTCCCCTCACAGCTCGCAGGCAGGCACATCATGTCACCGCAGCTACAATCAGCCAGCTCTGAAGGTGTACCAGTTAAATGTCCTCATTTAATAGTTCCTTTTTTCGTGTACAGAGAGAAAAAAAAAAAGATTCTGTGACCGAGGGTCTCTCTTACGTGGACCCTATATTACATCATATCATTCGGGGTTTTCAGAATGTTATCTGGGTGCCTTAATGGGCTTAAGCGCCAAGTATATATAAAATACAATTTCCACCACTAATGAAAAGATAAAGAATGTGGGCAAAACACAAACACTAGAGAAGCTTTTAATGCTAATCCATAAAACAGAATGCTCTAGAGTACATCAGCTTGGATTTATTGAACTTTTTCTTAAACAATTGGATTTTTCTGTTATTGCTTTTTGAGAAATGAGCAACTCCTAAACCAGGCTCATCTAAATGCTTCCTACCTTTTTTTTTTTTTCTGTGAAAGCCAAGGGAAATAATAAATATTTATTATTTATTTCAATGACAGGACATACATTTATTCATCGTAAATCAGTTAAAGTAACAATCAGTAATTTCCTCCACACATTCGGGTCATAAGGAGCCCAGTTTTAATTGGGCCTAAAAAAACAGATTTTGAGTTGGAGACAAGTATCGTGTGTGCCCATAGAATTACAAAGTGCTTTGCCCAAAGTCAGCAGACTTAATGAGGCTGAACCTTTGCTCTTCCCTTAGACCAACACTAAGGAGGCAGGGTGTGGCTTCCTGGTGGGTGGGTGACACTCTGTGAGAGGCTTGGCACTTTACCAGTGACCAGTTTCAATTTCTTCAGGAGTTTCCTAAACATAACAAATATATTATTATGCAACTTTCTCCCCTGCATTTGGTTGAGCAAACAAACACTTCAGACCTACAGTTTCCAAAGAGGCAGGAAAAAAGTAAAGGAGAAAAATACTGGCCTGCACGGTTTTAGAGACCCTCAGGGTACACAGCAGAAAGAGAGTAAGATGAAATGAAACTATATGTTTTTAAATGATTTTTGACAGAGAAGCAAGAGATTACACGGACTAAATCTGTGCAGTCCGTACATTGATTAGTTACAGATAAAAAAAACATTACATTCCCCCCCCCTCTTGTTTTTGATTCTGAAAATACCATTTCTCTAGACTGCCATTTGTCCACACCCCTTTTAATTCAAGTGTAGGGAATCAGAATAAGCAGCAAGAAAGCCCCAAAGGTACCGCATCACTGGGTAACTGCAGCGGGGGTTCTCAGGTATTTCTGGGCCCACCGCAAAGATTTGCAGGAGTCGGACTGGCATCTGTGACGCTCACTTTAACAGCAGGTGGTCCGCAGGCAAGTGATGAGAGAGTCCGCGCTTTCAAATATACTGCCTAAAACTCAACTTGCTGCAATAACTTTCAGAGTGTCGGGGTTTATTTAAATGTAGAGCCTGTAAATCGAAGGTTCTGAGGACCGAAATGTGAAAGCAACACATGCTCCTTGGCCCAGTCGAAAGTAGGGTGGTGGTGGGAGCTGGAGAGACTCTCGCTTGATTCAGTGGTTCTCAAAAATCTCCTGGGGAGCTTTTAAAACCTGTTGATGTCTAGAGCCCAACCAGAAAGAATTTAATAGGTTTGGGGTGAGTCCTAACTGTCAGGATTTCCTTACAAGGATCCCAAGAGAGTCACAGGGTCAGGAAGGTGTTGAAAACTGTGGCCCTAATTTTTAAAACAAGTATCCACTTTTGTAAGGATGAGTGTTATACTCTAGGAGAAAGTATTTTCCATATGACATCTCTGGTATATACCGGTATGTGGTATAAGATGTTTTCTCTTAATTATAAAATAGTAAGTATCATTATCATGAAAGCATTATGAATAATAATCCCATCAAATGATATATCAAGTATTATGTTATTAAATTATATTATTAAATGATCATAATTATTACGAATAAATCAAAATCATACTGTTAAAATGTTATTTAAAAATGATTTTGAATAATAATGATAATTACTTTTATAATTAGGCAATTCTGGCTAAAACAAACAGCTGGCTCTCTAAAACAAATGTTGTCTTCCAGTGTTTTCCACGTGACCACAGAGACTACAAAGAGTTAGTGTCTTCCGTCTATTTCCTAATCTTTCAATGAATTTGGTTTCCTACTGGGATCCACTCTGATGAGCACATAGAATGAAGTATGACGACAGCACATTACTTGATTATACTTTGAAAGCATGACTAAAGTGTACCTGCATTCTACTTGCATCAGAAATCAGAGGGCCAACTGACCCTGGCGGAACTGGCATCTGAGTTGGATTTGACCTGGTCAGACTCAAAGGGGGAGGTTGATTACGGAACACAGTTGACAGGCAGAGATGGACAGTCTCTTTCATTGCTTTCAGCTGTGAGTCCTGCGGGGGGAAAAAAGAGAGATGACAACTTTTACATGTGGATCCAGTTGTTCTTTTTGATTTGAGTCTCTCTGTCCTCCTTGCCTACACTCACTCATTCCCCATGCTAACGCCGAAGGTCATCGCCTGATTTCTAAACACCGCGACGACACACGGTGTAATGCACACTCAGTCTGTTTTTAGGAGTTACTGTGTCTCATGATACATTTTTTTAGAAGATTTTATTTATTTATTCATGAGAGACACAGAGAGAGGCAGAGACACAGGCAGAGGGAGAAGCAAGCTCCATGCAGGGAGCCCAATGTGAGACTCGATCCCGGGACTCCAGGATCACGCTCTGGGCCGAAGGCAGACGCTTAACTGCTGAGCCACTCAGGGATCCCCCTAAACCTGTCACCTCTCTATTGGTATCAATCTCTCTTATTACAAATCATTCCCCCCAGCAATGTAGGCACCTGTGTTTCTCAGAGTAGTCTGTAGCACCACTCAATTTGCGCACAGATTGGAAAAATACCAATTTTGTTTCTAATAAAACACTTATTTCCTGTGGGCCTTGTTAAGTGGAGGGAATTAATCTGACGTGATCATAAATTCTATTATTTACACCATCTTATATTTGCATAAGATTTCACAATATTTCAAGCTCTCTCACAGGCAAGAAATAACTTTTTGCTTTCTAACATCTGTAGAACTGGTATCTTTATTACTAATTTACTCTGACGCAATGAAAGTTCGAGGTTTCCAGAATTTTTTTCCGGTTTATATCACAAGGCAGACTGAACTACTGTAGACAACCATCTGTATATCCCATCTTCCGGATTCCACTGCTAAAAATATTTTTATATGCTGATAGAGTAAAAAATGATAATAATAATAATAATAATAATAATAATAATAATAAATAATACTAATACAAAGCTGGTACAAATGACAGAGAGATCCCCCAGTGCCAAAATGGAGAGAGACACACAACTTTTAGAAAACCTTATGGTCATTCAGGCATAATAAAGGTCATGGATGTAGGCCCAAATAAGAAAATGCCACATAATCATTCATTTCAAGACATGAGATGTAGCCTTTGGGACAAGAGAGATGAAGAGGTCACTGGGGCCAAAACCCGTGGACAAGCTGGCACATGTGGAGTGTACCCTCGCAGTGGACCCAGGGGTCAGTGAAGCAGCAATGTCTGCTGTCCTCCTGTGGAGGTAGAATTCTTCTACAGTCTTCTTCTACAGTCTATGCCAGGAATACACACCCTCATATAGCATCTGCTCCTATTTCCTATCTCCTGAAGAGTAGCGACCATGACTTAGATCCTTCCCAATGTCTACCTCTGAGCTTTCTACTCTTGTGTGGTATATGATAAGGTTTATCTTTAAGATGAGAAATAATGCTTTTTCTAGAAGAACAGCAAGGTAAGAAATCTGATTGATCTGGGCAAGAGATTAAAAAAATAAACAACAAAAAGCAGCAGTAAGAGCAGCAACTGGGAACACATAAGAAATAGGACCGACATGTATTGCCTTCTCATTCATATTGAGCTGACAAGGTGTCTAGGATGACATAAAAATCTGATAAGATGGGATCCCTGGGTGGCGCAGCGGTTTGGCGCCTGCCTTTGGCCCAGGGCGCGATCCTGGAGACCCGGGATCGAATCCCACATCAGGCTCCCGGTGCATGGAGCCTGCTTCTCCCTCTGCCTGTGTCTCTGCCTCTCTCTCTCTCTGTGACTATCATAAATAAATAAAAAATTAAAAAAAATATAAAAAAAAATCTGATAAGAACTAGGGTGGAGGAATGTTGGTAAGTGGATAGGGCAGGACTAAGCTAAATGATGACCTTTCACTCAAAGTGGACCCTTTTATCTGCTTGCCTGAGCCCCTGAATTCTTGTCTTCATCCAACCCAGTAATTTCAATCTATTATTTGTTTTCTTCATATAATTTGTCTCTAATCTTTTATGTACACGGGCAAGTTGCCTATTTTGTTCAGAACTGTGTATTTAGGGCTTAACGTAATTCCTGATGCAGTAGAAGGGACTCGCCAGAAAGTTCTTTGAATAAATGACATAAACACTTAGGTGAAAATGTTGTTTCTTTATGCCAGGGAAAGAAAGTGACAAACTCTGTCAATGAAAATAAATGAAATAACAGTTCAGATTTCTCTCCCTATGGGTGGTTTGTTATAATCATGGCTAACTCTTCTCTTCTCGCACTACAGCATAGGACATCATGGCACTGGGTCAGGGGAGAAATAGCCCAGGTGGCACAGGACAATTTAGACACGTTTTCTGTCTCACATGTTACAGTGAGACAGAACTCAATGGAAATTGGGTTAATGCGACAGAGTCAGGCAAGTTTGGGCCCAGACCCAAAGTTAACGTGGCTTTGAAGTGTAGACGTTCAATCATCTCAGATCATGCAGGAAGCAACGATGGCTATTTTATTCCCTGCAGTCATATCTTGGCTCCTCTAAAAACACTATGCATGTATCTGTAACAGGTTTACAGTCTATGTTTCCATGATGAACACATTTCTGAGTAATGGCTGAACTTGGATGTGAAAATAAAGAATGAACCGCATCAGCTTAATTTGCTTAGAACATCGATTTTCAGTAAATGCTGTTCAGGGAAGACAAACTTTCCAATGGAACAATACGCAAGAATGTGCACATACGCTACTATATTTTTAATCATCTGAACTTGGTGCGATCATCTCATCTGTTCCACTGGTGTCCTGGCATGGTCAGGACCGTCCCAGATGCCAGAGTCAACATCCCACAGACATACCCTCCAGCGCCTCACCTTTCATGGCCGTGGTCATTAGCTATCTCTGCTCTTGTGTTTCAATTGATGCTTAAGTGTCTTGGCCCCTGATTTTATTTCTTTTTTGGACCACGAGCATACAACTTGGCCTCCTACCTTAGGTTCCACCTCTGTTCCTTGATCTCATCGTAGATTTTTTCCTGCCAGAGATTACACACTGCTGCGAGCCACCCTGCCCTAATTTGCTCCGCTTTCCACCACAAAAACAGCTTTCAGTTAGTTCCTCTGACTCAACAGAGCCTGTCACTGACGCTGCTCAGGTTCGAGATGACCCAGTTCCCTAAGCAGGACTCAGACAATGAGGTTGCACCACGACATCATTATGTTTCCATTTCTACTGCTAGCTGTGGTCTGGTTTGAAATCACAGGTTACTGCTCACTTGGAAGTTCACTGTAACAAGATGTCACCTAATGAAATACGATACAAACTGTACAGAGTACACTTTGTCCAAGATCTTACAACCTATTCCCTCCTAGGGTCAGTCTCGTTTTTGCCCTGCCTTTCTCCTCCTTGCCTCAAACCCCGTTTCTCACTTGCTTTGCCACAGAGTAGTAAGATGCAAACTTTTTAAGGAAGAACCTGAGTACCTCAACCTCTTTTTACTTATAGACCATCAAAGATTCCCAATGTATTTGCTTCTTAGAGCCTTCACACTTGCTGTTTCCTGTGCCTATGAGCCCCTTTTCCAAATATCTATTAGAAAACTTCCACTTAGGGGGCATCTGGGTAGCTCAATCGGTTGAGTGAATCTTGCTTTTAGCTCAGGTCATAATCTCACACATCATGACATTGAGCCCCACGTGGGGCTCCACACTCAGCTGGGAGTCTGCTTGAAGATTCTCTCCCTCTGCCGCTCCCCTCACTGGCTCTCTCTCTCTAAAGTAAATAAATTAATCATTAGAAAAGTAAATAAAATACTAATGCTTGTGCTATATAATACGCAAAGTTTAAAAGGAATTACTGAGTACATATATGATCTTAACATCGGTCGAAGATTTAGAAGGTAATTGTTCATGTGTCTGTAGGCAAGTATTTTTCTCAGAAAATGCACTTTTTTTCTGGGAACAATGGGATACACCTTGCAAAGACAACTGTGCCCCTTCTTTCTCGTCTCCTAACAGATAAAAATTCACAAGATATTATTCCCCCTCCTCTTAATTCATTTCCATGAAGATGTGAGGTCCTCAGAGAGATCTGGGTATGGTATTAACTGCTGGCTTGGAAAGACCACAAAGAGCTGTGAATCCCAAGGCTTTTCCCCTAAGGGCTGTGAATCCCAGGGCTTTTCCCCTAACTTTTACTTTGGCCACGAAAGCAGCTCTATGAATCTTGTATGGTCACTTTGACATTTTTGATTCTCTATCTAGGTAGGTGCTAGGTCCCTTGTATGTAGAATAAATAGCAAGTTCATTGAGTTATGAAGTTAGATCTTCATTTACCTACTTAATCAATAGCTGCTTATGACGCTCAACCTCTGTGTCGGACACACGTGGCAAAGCCAGTTCTTGTTCTTTTACTACTTAGTCCTGGGAATGTGTAGGTTACCTCACACTCTGTCATCTTTTTCTCTTTTTTTTAATGATTTTACTTATTTATTTGTCTTTTAAGAGAGTATGCACACAGGAGCAAGGAGAGGAGCAGAGGGAGAGAGAGGGGGAAAGGATCTCAAGCCTACTGCCCCCAGAGCTGGATCCCACGACCCTGAGATCATGACCTGAGCTGAAACCCAGAGTCAGATGCTGAACTGACTGGGCCTCCCAGGTGCCCCCAACACGTGTCATCTTTAATATGGATGTAAATCATGCATGCTTTCCTGAGCAAAATTTTGTGATGGTCAGATTCAATAGACAAAAAAAAAAAAAAAAAAAGTTTTTTTTTTTAATATGAAAGTTTGAGAGAGAGTTTTCCACGCTATAAAGCTGTTTTTACATTCCAGTAGCTGAGGCTTCCTATAATTCATAACATATTGCCAAATAAATAATTGATTGTTTGGAAAACCAAGGTTGATTCTTAGATCTTCGGATTATTTTTGTTTATGTTGTGATAGTAAACTGAAACCTCTTTTATTAAATATGTCATGAGAGCCAAGTTGGAGCGCGAAGATGTTTTTGTGATATTTATGAAGTATTTAAGGTTATTTGGAGCTAGCTAGGCACCTGAAGAGAGTAAAAAATCTCATATAAAGATGATGGAGAGAGGTAGTGAGCAATTTCATGAAAGTGTAGTTTTTCTCCATTTTGAAGTGAGCTACTATTTCTACCTGCCTTTATGACCACAGCTTATGAGCCTCATACATATGGTACAAGGGATTTGTTGAAACCGACCTCTAGTAAAATGAAATGCTTTTATAGTTTACTGTAGCAAAAGGAATGACAAGATCTGGAAGGCTAAAGAGAAAAATGGTTAACACAAACAGGCAGTCTCTCCAATCTCAGTCATTGACATTAATAATTACTACGCTTACTGAGGGTTTTCCATGTGCCAAGACTTCTTAGTCCTTTGTTGGATGCATATAGTCTTCTCACCACCCTTATAAAGTAAGCTTTATTATTATTAATTGTTATTATTATTCCATTTGCAGTGATGCATAATGAGTCTGAGGAATTCGAACATGGCCATTCGGTGGAATAGTTGCGACTGAAGAAAGGCAGGCTGTTCCTTTGGTATAGATTTTCCATTCTTCTGATTGAGAAAATGTGCTGTTTGTCTTCTCAAGTCTGAAATACTATGACCGAGTTCTCAGAGTTTCCTGTATTAATATGTGCTAGACATATATTCTCAGTATTACAGATTACACTGGATATTTAATAAATGGGCATGAGTAAACAAAGAGATTATTTTAAAATCATCCTCCCCTTTTGTTTGTTTTGAGTGAACTAAAGAATAAAGAAATGTTTATTTCCTAAAACTTCATAAAGTTGATTTAAAAATGAAAAAAAAAATGAGAGACGTTTAGAGATTTTGTCAAAGTCCAGCATAACAGTAATTCTGAATTGTATAATCAATTTCGTCCTATTTCCCTTTCCATATGCCAATTGCCTGTTCTCCATGTGTGTTTCATATGAAGAACACTGAAAGGAAACGGTCAACATCAAGTGGGAATTGTGGTTTATCCTGAGCATGCACATTTGTAACACAATGGGTGATTAATAAAACCAAATGAAATAAAGGAGATAAAAAGCATTTAAGAAAATTTTTTTGGAATTAGGGGTGATGGTAGCACAACTTTGTCAACTTTAAAAATGTGACTTCTATGGTATGTGAATTATATTTAAGAAAAGCTGTTACAAAGATGGATGGTCACTCCCTCTTGCATTATTTTTATATGAACAAAGTTGGTTAGAAGTGCTACTTTCTTTAATGATTCTACCTCCAGAACTCTGATTTAAGATTTCCAAAATAAAAAGTGTCAATGACTACTTCCATGTGTTCCATGACTCATTCATGCAGGGTTCATCTGGCATCTTTGCTGGCCCTTACAGCGTGTTTACTCATGGTGTTACAGAATACATGTACCCGTAAGGTGGAAAATGAAAAGTGATGAACTCACAAGGCTGAACCTTGAGTCAATTTACGATAGCAGCAAAAAGGAGGAAAGATTTGGGTTCCACATTTTTTGAACTCACGAATTCTATAACCCATCTTCCAGGTACAGCATCCGGAACTGCATTGATAAATCAGGTGAAGCAATGGGTCTACCCTAGCTTTGTCTGCTAAAACTGAAGCTATGAGGACTCATAGATGTAAACTTACCCGGTCAAGAGCTGCTTTCTCCAGCTCATTTTTGGCCACAGCTAATTTCCGTTCCAATTCAGTAAGTTGTTGTGCCTGTAAAATGAAAGGGAGACAAACCTTCTTAGTGAATTCTATAATGCTCCTTTTCACTTTAAGCATCTTTCATTCATTGCCAAGAATAAAAAAAAAAATACTTTGTGAAGTCTATTTAGAATTCAGGTTAAAAATACTGTATAACCTTTGATTAAGCTTCAGAAAATGGTGCATTCTGGATTAATTAATATGTACTACATTCTTCACTGGACCAAAATATCTAGTTGCAAAGTTCCAGCTCAAGGCCCTGAATATACTTTGACTTCTTATGTCAGCCATGTTTCCAGTTGTTCTATACTGTATTAGATTTCCCTAAAATTCATATATTGAAGGCCTAACGAATCCCCTGCCGATATGTGGTTGTATTTGGAGACAGGGCCTTTAGGGAGGTAATTAGGTGTGGGGCCCTAATCCCATATGACTCATGTCTTGATAAGAAGAGGCACCAGAAATCTCTCTCTCTCTCCATGTTCACACAGAGTAAAGCCAATGTGAGGACTCAAGTGGCACCATCTGCAAGCGAGGAAGATCCCTCATGAGAAACCACATCTACCAGCACCTTAATCTCAGATTTCTTGCCCTTAGAATGGTGAGAAAATAAATTTCTGTTGTTTGAGTCACCCAGTCTGTGGCTTATACTATGGCAGTCTGAACAGACTAGTGTAATAGCGTTCATTCTTTTTATTATTGAGGTTTAATCCAACACACATCTCTATCCTACTATATCCCAGTACCTTTGCAAATGCCATAACTGTTCTGTTAAAAAAGAGCAATGGCTTCAGATTTGGAAGATGTATTTATATCTAGAAGATGCTCAGCAGACTCATAAAGGACTTGCAGAAGAACCTGCCTCCTCTCAGGTTTCAGAACTTCTCTATACCCTTGGCCTTTCCCTGTCTCCTACATTTAGCCAATGAAAATAATCTCAAACTGTAAAGAATGGAAGATCTTCCTCATGGTCTTGTTGGAGAAGGTGACTGAATTCATCAGTGAAGGTTGACAGCAGAAGGCTTATCACTTAATAGCTACCTAATCCATGTATATAAAATATATCATATGTGTATTTATAAATGTATATGCTTAAAAATAAAATTTTGAACTAAAAAAACAGAGAAAGTGGACTTCCAATATGAAGGTATCCATAAGTGGAAGAAAACCAACAAGCTCTGAGCCCTAGGCCCCCACCTGTATTCACCTCGGCCCTGTTTGTCTCTATCTTTCCTATATTCCCACCGCCGAACCCCATACTGTGAAGACCTTGGGGCCACAGGCCTCAGTCTCACATCCCTAACCCTTTACTAATGCCATCCTACCCGCTGTGCATTGCTGCTGCGTTGGGGCCATCGACCTTCCTCAACCACTGAGCACTCAAGACTCACACCGGGACTGTCCCTGGCTACCACTGGCCCTGCCTAAGCCAGCTTCTGTCCACAGGACTGAGCCTCAATGGATGGAAGGAGAAGGATGTCTCTTCTATCTCTCGCTGTGTCCTCAGCCAAGGATAGGAGTTAGGGACAATGGAGAGGGGTAGTGGGCCAATCCACACTCCCACTTGTTATGCGCTAGGTCCTCAGAAGTTGGGGAAAGGGAGTGAGCTTGTCTGTACTAGCCTCAGTCTACATTCTAGTGACCATCTGAAGGAACCTCCATGCTGCCCAGCAGGTCCTCATGTCTCGCTCCACCCCCGCCCCCAGGTTCTCATGCTATTTTCTTTCTCAGGTCCTCTCTGGTGGGCAGCCACTCTCCTCAAGATGCCACCATCAGTTCCCTGCAGTCCATAGGGGTCTGCATAGGGATAGGACCTCCTGCCTTGGCCTGTTTTCCTCCCCGGGAGGATTTCCCCAAATCCTGTCATTCATCCTAGAGGATCCCTACTAAAGAATGACCCAGATTGTTCAGTAATATAGCAATCAGGGGACTTGTATTAGGGCAGATAGAATGAATTCCAACAGAAATAAAAAATATACCTTTGAAAGCTATTCCAGATTGAATCTGGTAAAATCTAGCCGAGAGATCTTGGAAGACAGAAGTTTATAAGAAGAATAAGGAAAATAATCAAAGGAATTGTAGATACTGACATATATTATCATATGTTGGTGTTAGTTTTGGAAGGATGAGCTACCGGATTCATATATAGTAGCTATAAAATTTCATTAAATAATAATAGTTCTATGGATGTGAATCTATCAGAAGACACATAAAAGAAGATTTTACTATATAGTAAATTTTATTTATATTTTTAAAAATATTTTATTTATTTGTTCATAAGAGACACAGAGACACAGGCAGAGGGAGAAGCAGACTCCCTGTGGTGAGCCCAATGCAGGACTCAATCCCTGGACCCTGGACTGAGCCACCCAGGTGTCCCCCAAATTTTATTTGTTTTAAGTCAAGTTGATTTGTTTTCTTTTTTTTTTTTTTAAGATTTTATTTATTTGAGAGAGATACACACAGAGAGAGATAGTGTGAGAGAGCACAAGTTGGGAGGAGAGAGAGAAGCAGACTCCCCGCTGAGGAGGAAGCCAGATGTAGGACTCAATCCCAGGACCCTGGAATCATGACCTGACCTAAGGCAGATGCCCAACCCACTGAGCCATCCAGGTGCCCCTACTTGTTTTCTCAATTTAACTCCAGTAAAGTAAAAGATAGGGCGACTTATGAGGAGCTAGTCATGATTCTGAGCAGCTTTCATTCACATTTAATCACTGAACAAGTATCTATGAAAGGATTGATTCTTCTCAGGCCAGGAAACATCATCTGTGTCCGCAGGTTGAAAACATACATGAGTGGCAAGCATGTAAAGTGAACATCACATTATGAAATTCTTTTTTTTAATTAATTAATTTTTTGAATTTAAATTCAATTTGCCAACATATAGTATGACACCCAGTGCTCATCCCATCAGTGCCCATCACCCAGCTAATCCATCTGCTGACCTACCTCCCCTTCCTCAACCCTTTGTTTCCCAGAGTTAAGAGGCTCTCATGGTTAGTCTCCCTCTCTAATATTTCCCACTCAGTTCCCCTCCTTTCCCTCATAAGCCCTTTCACTATTTCTTCTATTCCATATATGGGTGAGACCATATGTAAAATTCTAACTGCTAAACATTAAGTGTGTCACCTGAGAAGTCAGGGTGCCTTCTTCCTTAAGAAAAGTAACGGCAAAACACTATGACATTTAATTTTCATACATGTACATTTTCTCATTTGAGCTTTCTAGTTAGAAGCTAGAGTCCCTATCATAAGTCTTAATTTACTTAAAAAAAATGTTGCTTCAGAGTTTCAGGTTTTTACAGATCACAAAACACTGGAGGCTGGTTTGGCTGCACCATCCAGTCTTGCTTCTGGATCTGTTCCTTGCTGTTTTCCTCAAGAATTTAACTTAAATTGGGCTGGATTATAAAGGAAGACATTAGTGCTGTATATCACACAAAAAAGTGTCTTTTCTCCCCTCTTCTAAGAAACACGAATCTATAGCCACGGTGAATGCTATCAAAAATCTCAGCTATTTCATCTTCTGATGGGAGCATAAGAAAAGGAAGCACCACAGGCATGTCAGCACAATGTACCCCCCACCCCAAGTGTTTCCTGGCACGGCCTCCTGCCTGGAAAGACTACACTGACCCATGTAGGGCCAGATCAGGGAAGTATGTATATAGACTCTGAGTAGGGAATTCAGAACAGAGCGTCCTCCTAATGTTCTGGCCCCTGCAAAGTTTTAATAAAGAGCTTAAATAAGACTACTGTGATTCCTTTATAGGGGACATAGGTCGGTAAAGGACTATAATAGCTGAGTCTTTTAGGGTCAGGGAAGAAATGGCCCAGCCCACATTGCAGTAAGTTTGAAGGTGGCATCAGCAAAACAAGGAGAGAAGGTTTCAGAAGCCCTAGCAATGGCTCCGCTGCTTTATTATTGATAAGATGCAATTGCTCTACAACCAATAAAAACACGCAGGTGTGTTCCAGCAAATAATGGGCAGCAAGTATAAGAGACGTCCCATTAGAGTGTGAGGTGAGCATATTAGAAATTCTTCATTTTAATTCCAGATGTTAACATCGTAAAATAAGTGCTATTATAAAATATTCTGTAATCTACGATTTTTATACTAAAATATCCCTATATAAAATATTAGAACTTATATGTATGCATTTTCTAAATATCGTCTATGTTATTTATGCTTATAACATACACGATATGATAGTATAAAAATAATATAACAATGATGATAACGGACCTGAACTCTTTCTCTCTGTATTCATTCCACATAACTCTATCTGGGACAGAGCATTGTTTCTATGCTCTTAAAATGAGAAACTGAGATACAGATTTATAAAATACCTTGCTCAAGATCACACAGCTGGGCAATGACAGATCTGGAATTCAAATTTAGGCAGTTTGCATCCATAGCTGGTCCTCACCACTAAAGATATGAATGTATATAATCTATTTACAACCAACAAATACATATATGTTAAATGACATGTGCTCAAAATTTACTGATGACCTTTAGACTTAAAGTGTTTGGAATTGACTCAGACCCTTGGAGAAATTTTGCATGTTTAAGACCTTTCATCCATCAAGGATAATAGAGTCCTAAGAGAAATGCTCTCAAGTACTCGGTAGGATATACTTGGTAGTTGGTGAAAGGATAATGATAGGACTGGACTTTTTATGTATGATTCAATGCATCTATTAGTACATATGACACACATGTTCCCTGCTCAGCAGCACCAACCTAGAAGATGTGGATAATAGTCAAGAGATATAATATAGACAACCACACCGCCATCACCATCGTCTCTACATTCCACTTTACCACAGAGTTAGGAGGCAGGCGATCAACAATTCCTATTTGTTTCTACTCACCCTCAAAAAAGTAGGAAGTTGTGATACCAAGATTATCTTTGGCCATTTGATTCTTTGATTCAATATCTTCTCGTTTCAACATTAATAAGTTGGCAGTGACACTGACAGACGTGGAACTGATTGACTATTACACG